AGCCGTCAGGAAGCTTAAGATCATAACAAAAGAGGACATCTCTCTTCATCCTATATCCTTCTATGTCAACGTAGGACACAGCTCCAACTGGCTTAGCACTGATCATGACAAGAAATGGAGAAATATGAAGAAACATTTATACCATAAAAAACATCAAAACAGATAGTCGAGTGCCTTAGATTAATGGTTATTATTTCAAAAATGGAGAATTGATCTTACGTATGGGAAATAGATCTTGGTATCCCTGCTTCCTCTTCACATTCCTTAATAAGATTTTCTCCACAAGAAATATCATGTGGCTGCAGGCAAAACCGCATAAATGAACATTAATCAACCAAGAAACAATCATGTTTACACAATATTGACTACTATACTACAGTATGTTCCGCACCAAAGAATAGTTAATAGGTTTCTTGGATAAGGAATGAACAAAATGCAGTTTATGAAGTGGCAAAAGAATTTTCAACTGAAGCATGTTTAGATCCAAGGCAAGGGAGTGACTAAATCCGTTATACCAGTAAGGCTACAGGAACATATATAACGATAATCTGTGATAAACCATTAACCTTGAAGGGTGATACATACCAATCCCCCAGCGACTAAATGATCAAGCATTCCAGGATAGGTGGTTTTTTGTTCACTTCTCTTTCCTAGCCATAAAAATTCCTTCCCATCTTTCTCAAGATAGCCATTCATATGAACTCCATAAGCCTGCTATCAACAAAGAGTCATAAAAATTCATAGGCCTCTAGAGAGAAATGTTTGGATGGCCTCTGGAAAGAAATGCTAGGGCTTATAATCGAAGGGTCTCAATTGTCTCTACTTCTCATAAACAGAGATCAAATGATGGGAAAATGTGTTGTAACTGTAAAAACCAACCTAGACATCAACTCAAGAAGTTCAAAGGATTTCAAGAACTGGAAAACTCAAAGTGATATAGTTGATTAATGACCTTATCTCGACATTCCAGAAAAAATAAAAACAAGAACTGCTAGAAAACTCCCTCACTTACCACCATGAACATCTGATAAAGATAGCAAAAAGTCACATGATAAGAATTGTTAAATGGGTTGGGGACCTCGTTAGAAAAGAAAAAAGGCCTTCTTAAGCTATCACACTAACACTAAGTAGTTAGTATGAACATCCATCGTAAGCTGAGAAAACAAGCCCATTATGACATTCATAGAAGTGGTCATACCAAAACAAAGACTAAAAATCTATTTAGAAAGATTTTTATGATTTATAGCCACATATTATTAAGAGATGATGTAATTAGTTTAAGTGGGAAAACTGAATAGCACACCTTTATCCCAAAGTATGGCGCAGCAGCTCGTTCCAGTGCAAAAAATATGTGTTCCCCGAAAGCTGAAGCGACCGGATATAACTAACCCGTGATCAACGTAGCAAAGATGTTATCATGGAGGAAGCACACGTTAGTCTTTGGACTTTTAGCTAAAAGATTTCAGAAGTTGCAGATTTATAGAAAAAGGTATCAAATGGATTGAAGTACCTCATTTCTTATGCCGGGGATCAGTTCGCCCAAAGACTTAACGACATTGGCTACAGCTTTGGTTCGATCGTTGGGTGTACTCAGATTTGGATGTAAAGTGCAGTAACATCCAAAATGACTACCATAGGTATTATCTTGTGGGAAAATGAATACATTCTGAAATGGCTTCAGAAAATCAGCAAACCTAAATAAACCAAATATATTTACCTTCTCATCAAACAAAACACAAAATTTTAAATCACTAAGAATAGCTATCTGATGCAAAGATAAACCACTGACATAATACACAAACATACACTCAAACTTGGCACAGCTAGCAAAGTCAGCACTTCAACTTTGAGAGAGTACATCCAGGGGCGGCTCTTGCTTATAAAATTTAAGGCATTGGCCTTAGGCCCCCCGTTTTTGGGGGCCTCAAATTTCTACAAATAAAAAATTATGTATTTTAATTCCATTAAAATAGAAGAAATCAAGAAAACATTGTTTTGGACTCTTACATTTTTTTCGCTAACACTCACATTATTTATTATTTTTAACTCTTTTTTGCACTCTATTTTTTCAAATCTTTGATAGTTAGAGTAGTACACTCTCAAAAATATGAATCAATAGTCGAAAAGTGTTGAACAAAGTAAATTACAAATTCTTTTTTTATTTCTTCGTAAATTTTCATATTAAAGTAGGCATACAAAGTTATCAACTTTTTGAATCAGATTCTATGATTCTAACTCTTATCTTTAAAGTTTATCAACTTATTACTTATAGAATTATGTTCATAATTCATATAATAATTGTCTTAATAAAAGGATGTTTTTCAATGTTGAATTGATAAAATCTTACCTAAAATAATAATTGAAAAAAGTATTTGAAAAAATTATTTATATAAAAGATATTTAGTAGTAATTTACATCTAAAAATTTAGAAAAATAAATAAATACAAAGAAAGTTTATTTAGATTTTAGGCCTCTAATTAAAATTTTGCTTTAGGCCTCGAATTATATTGAGCCGCCCCTGAGTACATCTAGACACCTCAACATACAACTTACAAAATGATCATCTAAACACGTCCACAATTTATGTATCACATCAACATCAGGTGTCCACGAGACACAACGGGGATAAGTTGGAGGTTTAGTTGTCCATTTTGACCATGTTGAGGTGACTAGACGTGCACTCTCAAAGTCAGAGTGCTTACTTGCCAACTGAGACCAAGTTCGAGTGCATATTTATGTATTATGCTAATTCTATTTTGAATGGGCAATGTTATCCATAGGAGTTGAACTCTGAACAAGTACGATTGGCCTTAAAATTCTGGAATTCAACTTCATGTTCAGAATTTTCAAGAATTCACTTTTTCACTCCAAATTACTTCTAAAAAGTCAAAAAAAGAAAACTCCAATTTATATTCAAATATCATTTTTCATTTTGAAAACAAAAACTATTTTTTTTTTCAAATTTCACAATCAAACAGGACCAAACATTGAATTGTTTTTTTTTTTTAGTTAAGAGAGAAAAGAAAGGTGCATTATCCACATAAAAAAATTAAGGAAAAATTGAAATTACCCATGGTGAACGTAGCCAATTATTTGGTCCTCAATCACGAAAGGCATGAACTCACATTGCTTCTCCTGTTAAAACTTGTTATTTTCATCAATAAAAAAAGCACAAGGCTCTATGAAGAGTGAAAAAGAGTGTGGGGAATACCAAATCGCGATTACAAAGCTTGATTTTATCGAAAAAACCAGAGAGGGCGGAGTCGTCATTTTGAGGAGATTCCGGTACTCGGAAAACGTCGTCCCAGGTGAAGCTATTGCCGGCGGAGATGGAAAATGAACGGGATTGTCGCCGGCGCCGGGAAGGGCAAAATGGGGATTTATGACTGAGAATGGTAGGGGCAATTGGGGTATAATAAATAAAGTTAGGGAGTCTGTGAGAAACGGAGCGATACAAGTAATTGCAACTCATTTTTTGGAATAATAGTTCACTATTGAAATGCGTAACTCTTTTTAAAATAATATATGTCAAACACAACTTTAATTTTCAATTTTAAGGCTAGTAGGATGGTACCATAATGATGGTACAAATAATTCGGAATCATCAACGTAAAAAATAAATTTGAAATACACATGAAGAGAGAATTAGTTGGTTACTTACCCAACTTTATCTTCAAGGAATACTACTTATTCGCCTATAGTCCTATACTAACCAACTAAAAAAATAAGAAAAAGCAAGGTGAGAGGAAAAATGATTGATACTAATATAATAAGGTTCTAATAATTAATATTAAAATTCTTCATTTTGCATGTTTAATTCTAATATATTAGTCTAACTTAATGTTTTGTGCTAGAGGTAGACCATCATATAATCGTATGATTTAAAACGTTGTTGATCAAATACAAATTATCGATATAAAAATTTGAGTTGAGTGATTTTATAAAAAAATTAAAAATTATTGACTTTATTAGATAAATTTAATTCCTAAGTTTATATCATGGAATCCTGGATAAATGTTGTGATAAATTAATTATCTTCTAGTATGTATCATATATATGGGAGCAGATTAATCACCCTTATAAATAGTGTGCTTAATAGAATTCCAACATATATACTATTTATTTTTTTTACCCTCCCTAGGAGCTCCCATCCCTTTTGCTCCCTTGGTGACTCAAACTCGCAACCTTCGGGTTGAAAGTGAGGGGTGCTTACCATGCGAGCAACTCCCTCTCGTCATATATACTATCATTAGTAGCCTAAAGTAGAAAAAGCTAAATTCAAGTCAATTCTTATGGAATAGTCGTCGTCCCAATAACAAACAAATGCATTTAGTAAAATGGAAAACGACTACACGGGCTAAAAGGGATTTATCGTCCATCCAGAGAATACCAATCGTCCAATTTTTGAAAGCATTGACCTAGATAACGGAGAAGGGGAACTTCAACTAAGAAAGAATGATGAATTGTTTAAGTATGGCCATTTTGTGTTAGAATTCTATACTGCCAAGGCACTGCTGGATGCTCTGATCAATAGAACACGAAGAAGAGGAAATCAAATTACATATGAATTATGATAAGCTTGAGTCGAGTCAAAAACTTGAAATTACAAAACAAACTTATATAAAGTCATTGCACATATGAAAATGCATGTCTATAGCATAGAAAATCTTACACAAAGAAATTCATGACACAAGATGCACATCCAAAAGAGAATGGTCTATATATACCATACAAAATCTTACACAACAGAAAAGCCTCAATCAATCCCAAAAGCTAGCTCATGAGGGGAAAATTGCCCAAGTCCATATAAGCAGACCGTCAACGATGGAACTCTTCAACTCTGAAGAGCATCGTACAACAGCATCAAAGATCCAGTCACTATAATTTGATGATGAAGAAGTCAAATGTGATCACAAGCTAAGAATGAATGATTCTGCTAGAGAGCTACCTGCGGACCACTTTCTCTTACCTAACATGATCATCTCTCTTGATCTAAGCATTTAATGATCCCACCCTGCAAGCAAAATGAAGTCATCATTCTAGAAGAGATCAAAGACGTTCAAAGTAACGTAGGATCATGTAACAAATGATGGATTAGGGGGATTATAGGAGTTCTGTTTTCGTACAAAACAGTTAAACTTATTAGCAAGCAGTCATTTGAAATTGTTTGAATCTTACAAGGTTTGTCGTGGATACGGACACTAAGGCAATCATTTCCCATGCTCTCTTGCTCTTCTTGAATTTCTTTGACGGATTTTGCTGCTGAAGTTCTGCAATTAAGCAACTCTATTGACTCCAAGGTATAAATTTCCCCAATGTCTTTAGGGATTTCCTCCAGGTATATGCATCTGTTCAGAACTAAGCGTTGCAGTTTTGGAAAGTTAACACTGCCAGCTTTCCAGCGTTTCAGATTTGTCCTATCAATTAGGAGGAATTTAAGTTGATTGAAGATTTCTTCATCACTTAATCTCCATGCATCACCATCAAATCCATTGTCTTTGATTTTAAGCACTTGAAGGTTTGGCAACGTAACGATATTTGCCAAGTCTTCCCATGGTAAATAAGTACATCTTAAAGTTAACCTCATCAGAGATGTAGGCAGAACATACTTACTTGGCAGTGGGTGAGGGTATAATTTTCTGGAGCATATGATCTTCAATATTTCAAGTTCAGTTAAACAGTAGAGGCTATTGAGCGTCTGAGATATCGTATCTCTTCTGCATTCTTCCCAAGCTCCATGAAGTTTGAGCCTCTTTAGATTCGGAGTATGAGTGAACATTTCATTACTACAGCAGGAAATACTTAAATCTGAAAGTACCTCAAGATTTTGTAACTTGGAACTAGACCCTGTCGTATACGTACTTGATGGAACAGGAAATGAAGAGATCTTTTTTACCTCAAGATGCTTCAAAAGTTTCATCTTCCAAATCTCCACTGGTAAATCAGAGTGTCGTCCGAAAATCAAACTCTGCAGATTGTAAAGCTCTGATACTGAGCATTGAAGATCATCATGACAGTTGAATTCAAGGTATCTGAGATGTACTAATTTTGTTATCTCAAGAGGGAAATCTTGAAATGTATAATGAAGGATTGCAAGAACTCTTAGAAGTTTGAAACGCGCCAAGAAAGGTATTTGTTTAGAAGGGCGCGGTGCATGTTTTAGTCCATTGAATAAGTACAATGTTCGGGTGAGACTAGATGTTGAATTCCAGCAATCCCCCTGAGAAATCCGAGAATGTGAACTGTAGCGATGAACATGAGGCTTACTAGCTGTATCAATGAATCTTGTAATAACATCATGAGTTCTTGTAACCTTCAAAAACTTCTCCTTCTCACCTTGTCTTAGAATCAAGTCGCGCACCAGATCATGAACCCCACATGTTATAAGCTCACCATTAAATCTCCTCTTTCTAACCAATATCAAGTTCCTACTAATAAGATCCTCCAAGCATTCTTGTGCTACTTGTTCCATACTTTTGAGCCTTTCATGTCTTAGAAAACCTTCAGCAACCCATAACTGGATTAGTCTCTCGGTTGCAATCACAAAATCTTCCGGGAACACTCCTATAGAAAGGAAGCATGCTTTTAGGTGATGAGGCAAATAACTATAACTCATAGCAAGCACTCCAAGACATTTATCTGGTTCACTAGCAACAATTTTACTAATAGTTTTGGCAACATCATCCCAACATTCTCGTGTTCTAGAAGTTTTGGAGAGATGCCCTGCAACCACTAGAAGAGCTAATGGTAGTCCTTGGCACTTTTGTGCTACTTGCTTTCCGATTTTCTCTAATTCACAGGGACAAACATCATGTTGTGAACCAAACACCTTGTCATGAAGTAACTTCCAACTATTATCTGAGTTCAAGAGACTCATCTCATGAGGATTGCTATCAGGATCTGCATGCTCAGCAACCTCTTTGTGCCTACTTGTCAAAATAATGCGACTTCCATTGTTATCATCTGGAAAAAATCTTGTCATAAGATCCCATATGCCTTTACTCCAAATATCATCCATGATAACAAGATACCTCCGATACTTTAACTTTTTGTGTATCATATCCATCAGCTGATCATCACTACTTTCTTTGATCTCATCTCCCACAGCCAACCGATAAATCTCATTTTGGACCTCATTTTTCAGCTGAAAAATACAGGAAAGAATGCCCAGTAACAAATCTCTAGTTTGATACTCTTGAGATATTGTTATCCAAATATGGACGTCAAAGCGATTCCTGACTTCAGGATGATGGTATACTTTTTTAGCTAGAGTAGTCTTACCTATCCCCCCCATGCCCAAGATTGAGACAATTTCTCGACCAGACGGTGGCCCTGTTAGTCTTCTCATGACTTTCATCAAGTCATCTTCAAGACCTACGACAACATTATCTATATTCAGACTTGCAACACGCCTAGATGAGGAATGACCTAGCAAGTAATCCCTCGATGGCAGATCCTTATTTGTCACAAATCTCGTCATCTTTCTCTTCACAAAATCAATCTTTTCTACAAGGGAAGGCAAGTCATCGCATAAAGGCTGGCGTGGCAATCCAACTCTTGAGCAGTGCTCCAGTAGATTATATTCATGCATCTTTAGTTCAATCACATTCTCCACGTCGTTCACTGCAATTCTAATCACTCTTTCCAACTCTTCAGAATTTCCAAAGACTTGTCTTCTCATGTAAGTCTTCTCAAGAAAGTTTTGAAAATAATCAGCACTATTAAGGAGAGATTCGATCATTTTTCTAGTATCACCGATTATCCAACGTGGTTTTTGCTGCATAAGTTGCTTCAAAGTTTGAATGAGAGAAACCACATCTGCATAAGCCATTTCTCACACTAACTATAGGACAAAAAAGACTACTTCACAAACTCAAAAACTATTTATTAATGAAGTTTGATGTAAACATTTTTGGCAAAAACCATTTTTTTGAAGCAAACACCACCTATAACTCTCTCTTTCTAAGTGTTTCTTTGATCAGACACAAAGAAGTACTAATCCATCAATTAAGAGAACTGGTATATAAGAGTTTTGAACCTCAAATTCTTACCTAGATAAAAACAACGCTTCTTCAGATCGACCCCACGACAGCCTGCAGACGAATCCAAATTGATCCTGCTGCTTTTTTCTCTTTTAAAAGAAAATGCTAGAAATCATAAATATGATCAAAGAAGATGAAAGATTGACTATAATTAGGGTAGCAAAACTTCAGTTCTTGAAACTTGAAATGCAAAGAAAATTATTACATATACATTAACATGGATAAAAAGGAGATTTTTCTTGGAGAAAAAGATATAACATTTCTGATTTCACAGTAAAAAATAATCATCTTCCTCTTCATAGAAGTTACAGGACAAAAGTCACATTACAGTCCAAACAAGTAGTCTTTTTTTATTAAACAAGTTTTAAGTAGTTGTCTGGTCCCTTTAGCTTCTTGTTCACATGTAGTTTATCATAAATAAACAAACAGCCCATCTTTTTCTCTAAACTAATCCCATTTTTTTTCTCTTCTAGGCAAAACTTACACAATGGGGCAACTAGGAATGCTAAAATTTCATATTCAATTTAAAATTAATCACAATCTGAAAAACATAGAGATATATGACCGATATTTTTTGCTCCTTAGCTGGTGAATTTTGGTGTTATCTACAACCTTTTAACTCTTTAATGACAGCAAGGTGAGCAGGAACTAACTGTTTTACCCCAGAAAATATCCAACTTTTGAGATGCATATATATATATCAGGTATATGTTCATATGACTTCGATAAAGATAAGTGATACACTCTCGATTAGAAGATTTACTACTTCACTTTCGATAACTGCAAGGGACTTGAACTAGTTTGTAAACAAGAACTTTGATTATGCCTAGATATTGACTATTAATTTGAAACTGAGTTTCAACTGTAAATAGAAACCATACTCGATGTTTGGTTCAGCTATGGCCAATGAGTCTGCAACCTGATTGCTTTCTAAGTAGCAGTATACTATTTTCCTTCTCCTTCCATGGCACTATCCAGATTGTACTTATATACCGTAGTATTTCCCACAAGTTTAGGATGTGTTTCATACTGAATTAATCAGAGACTTATATGACATGAGACTCGGTGAGAAAGGGAAATGGAAATACTGAAAACTGCAGAGTGAAGTACAGAGGCATATAATATGCACTCAGTAATTGAGAATTATAACATAACGAACATGTTGATAAACAGTCCAGTCAATCATATCTAGCTTGCAAGAAAATTATAAAAACAAAGAACAACAACTAGCAGCATAACACAGGTAAAAGTTAGGTCATTTAGTTATTGTAAAAAAAAAAAAACAGAAAGAGACTAAAGTTGCTAACAAGTTACAAGTAGCCTCTCCCCTTCTAAGCTAACAAACGGAGATATATTGCTTCCCACGCACACTGCATTCCTTTAACTTGCATGATCAGCTCCTCTACTGCAATGAGAAGCATATCAATGAGCATTTAAATTGTGAATATATCACGAGCCAATGTAAGAGAAGAAACAAGGCGCATAATTAGTGAGCAATAAATTTAAGACAATTTGAGTCTTACCTACAATCATCGATGAGGACACTAAGGCAATCATTCCCCATGCTCTCTTGCTCTTCTTGAATTTCATTCACGGAATTTGCTGCAGTTCTTCTGCAATGATACAACTCTATTGACTCCAAGGTATAAATTTCTCCAAAGTCTTTAGGGATTTCCTCCAGATATATGCATGTTCTCAGAACTACGCGTTGCAGCATTGGGAAGTTAACACTGCCAGCTTTCCACTGCTTCAGATCATTTGTCCTGATTAGGAGGAACTTAAGTTGATTGAAAATATCTCCATCATTTAATCTCCATATATCACCATAAAATCCATAGTTTTTGATTTTAAGTACTTCAAGTTTTGGCAACTTCACAATATTTGCCATGTCTTCCCAAGGTAAGTAAGTATAGCTTAAAGTCAAGCTCCTCAGAGATGTAGGCAAAGTATACATACATGGGATTGGGAACAAGTATAGGTCTTTGCATCTGATCTTCAATTGTTCGAGTCTTTTTAAACAGGCAAGGCTATTTAGGTGCTCAAACATCTTCTCACCCTGGCATTCGTTTTGACTTCCACGAAGTTTAAGCGTCTTAAGATTTGGAATAGCGGAAAACAATTCAAAAGTACATCTAGACAATCTTAGAGAGGAAAGTCCTTCCAAATTTTATAGCTTATTTGATGGATTTTTAGGGAGAGAAATTGAGTGACTCACCTTAAGATGACTTAAATGTTTCATTTGCCATATTGTCTCATGTATAGTTGGAGGATTATAACCTAGGCTTCCAACAATGAAGACCTGGAGATTATAAAACTCAGACAACGAACCGTGAGGATCATCACAACTGTGTAATTGAAGGTATCTTAGATGTACTAATTTTGTTATCACAAGGGGAAAATCTTCAAACCCATACTGAACGACTGACAACACTCTTAGCAAGCACTCCTAGACATTTATCTGATTCATTAGCAACAACTTTACTTACACTTTTGGCAACATCTTTCCAACTTTCTTGTGTTCTTTCAATTTTAGAAAGATGCCCCGCGACCACTAGAAGAGCTAAAGGTAGTCCTTGGCATATTTGTGCTACTTGCTTCCCAATATCCTCTAGTTCAGGAGGACAAACATGTACTACCCCGAACACCGTTTCATGAAGTAACTTCCAACTGTCATCTGCATTCAGGAGGCTTACCTCATGAGGTGGGGTGTCAGGGTCAGCATGCGTTGCCACTCCTTTGACCCTACTTGTCAAAATGATTCGACTCCCATTGTCATCGTCAGGAAAAGTTGTTGACATAAGATCCCAGACCTCATTACTCCAAATATCATCCATGACAACAAGATACCTTCGACCCTTTAACTTTTTGTATATCATATCCATCAATTCATTATCAGTCTCTTGTTTGATCTCATTAAAAATACAAGAAAGAACACCTAACAACAAATCTCTAGTTTGGTATTCTTGAGATATAGTCACCCAAACATGTATGTCAAAGCGATTCCTGATTTGAGGATCATCATATGCCATTTTTGCAAGAGTTGTTTTGCCTATACCACCCATTCCCAAAATGGGGATAATCTCTCGAGTAGACATCGACCCTTTTAGTCGTCTAATGATTCTCATGAGGTCATCTTCGAGACCAACGACAACACTTTCTGGATTAAGTTTTGCAACATATCCTGTTTGCAGATCCTCATTTGTAGGATTACTATAACCTTGAACCTCATTTGTACCAAATCTACTTCCCATCACATTCCTCTTCATATCATCAATCTTTTCTACTAGCAGTGACAGAGTTACACATAATGCCTCTCTTGCATTTCCTTTTTCCAGTTTGTTAATTTCATATATCTTTAGTTCTATCGCGTCCTCTGCTTCATTAACTGCACTTTTCATCTCTCGTTCCAACTTTACACAATCTTTCCTTCTCTTGCTAGTGTTCTCAACAAAGTCTTGGAAATATTCAAGACTTTCAAGGACAGAATCAACCATTTTCCTTGTTTCATCACTTATCCAATGGGCTTTAGCTGCACAAGTTTCTTCAAAGTTAGTGTAAGAGAAATCACAGCATCATAAGCCATCAAGATTTAGCAAATTGAATAAATGCAATCAAAATAAAGAAGTAAAGAAGCCGAAATGTGAACTATGGATTCAAGGTAGCTAAAAATTTTTGTTCTTGAAATCTGAAAAAGAAGCCACATGACCATTCAGACATGTTTGTCTTTTAGTAGTATTAAACAAGTTCAAGTGGTAGTGTGCTAGTCCAATGGGATTTTTGCACATTAAATAAATGCAATCTATGGCCTTGAGACTTGAGAGCAACACTTTGAGTGCTCTCGATTTTAAGAAAATGATCTAGTTTGACTTGACACAAAATTTAAGAAAATAGAAAAGATTTTTTAATCTTGTAAATCTTATTTAAATTTATGTCAAACGTATTAAAATGTTCTTTAATCTTATAGTTTTAAACATGTCACGTGAAAAATTGAAATTAAAATGTTGAGAAAGGGGTTATTCTTTTTTAAACAAACTAAAAAGAAAAATCGGTCATTCTTTTCGAAACGAAAAAAAGTAGTAAATTAGGAGAAGGAGGGAAAGATGCAAGTTTGAAAATGATGACCAAAGTCACTTTCATTTTTTTTATGGAAAAAGGTCAAAATTGCCCTTGAACTATGCGAAATAGATCACTTATACCTTCCGTTATATTTTGAGATCAAAAATATCTCTGCCGTTATCCCAAGAGACCACAAATATCCTCAAGAGTTAACATCTCAAATTTTTAATGACGTGACAAGCCACGTGAAACTGATCCATCCACCTAAGCTGCCAACTAAGATTCCCACTAACCCATTCTTGTTAACCATCAATTCACCCTCCCAAATCAAACCCTAGTTTTGAGAGAAAAATTAAATCTTTTCCATTAAAGTTTCAAGCAATGAGTTTTTTAGTTTAGTTTTCAAGCAATGGTTTTCATTAAATTTTATTTGTTGATCAGGTTTTTAATTTTGAAGAATGTTACTCTTCTTTGTGGTCATATACACTACTTCATGATGTGCATTGAAGATAAAACTTCTGTCACTCGGACAAGGTGAATAAGGTAATACTAATCAAGTTATTGCTAACTTGTTTTGGTTTTAGAGGTGTAATAATAAATTATCACTAATTGAATTCATGAAAGAAAAAAAAGGGTGTCATTGATGGTAAGGGTAGAGCACTGTAGATTTTAGAAGTCAACAATGAATAATGAAGGGAAGGGGAATTTAATTTGATTTGGGAAGATGATGGGTTAGTGGGAATCCTAGTTTGCAATTTAGGTGGAGGGAGTAGTTCCACGTGGCTTGCCACGTCATTAAAAATTTGGGATATTAACTCTTGAGGATATTTGTGGTCTCTTAGGATAACGACGGTGGTATTTTTTATCTCAAAATGTAACAGAGGGTATAATTGATCTATTTCGCATAGTTCAAGGGTAATTTTGACCCTTTTCCGTTTTTTTTTATAACAATAAATTCATTCAGTAATTACAAGGAAGTCTCTTATAAATCATCCAAGACTTTTAAGGCACTAAACTCATTTTATTTGCTTATTTAAACCTAAGTAGCTATTACAACAGACTTCAATATACCAAATTTAACTAGGCTATTACAAAGCACAAGCACTAATTATTATTTTTTACTACTATTATGCCCTCCTTTATCTTCCATGTAACTTGTCTTGACCCAAGAGGGTGGATTATACAAAACGAGTTGATATGGGCTCATCAGGGTTTATAAGTCAAATAGTCAAGTCAAATCCAATCGATAAAGAATTAAAATGAATTAAGTCAAATTGAAAAAAAAATCAATTTATGATTTGTTTAGATTAATTTGGCGTTGAAAATAAAACCTGACTATTTTTGGATTAATTTGTATGTTGTTTTATATTTAGAATGGAAGTTACAACTACATTGTTATAGATTTCATATCAAAAGTTAACAGTCTTTACTTCATATATATTTTATTTTGTATTCAACTTGATTGTAGGCTTTAATCATACAAATTTAACATATTACACGTTGATATCTCAATATAAGTATTTTGTACTCATGTGCTACATTCTTTTTGAAGATTCTTATTCATTTAATGTTTTTAAATTAAGTTTTAGCCTATCACATAGGTAAGTGAAAAATATATTTGATCTATTTTTCAATCACCGTATAATTGTAAGAAAATCGAAAGAACCGACTAAAAGCGAAACCTAAAAAATTGACTGTATGTTGGTTTGATTTAGTTAATAAATTTAATAAACCGACATAATTAATTTAGTTTTACTTTTTAATAATAACTCAAATCAAACCAAATTTCTGTTCCAGAATTTTGCCTCTGCTGATATGATAGAGTTAAGAAAATATTTTTTTTAAAAAAATTATAACAAGAAAAGTTATAAAATAGAGAAAATCCGGTAACCAAAATCTTTACAGGTAAAGCCAAAAATCAAAATATTGAATAATGAAAGTATTTAAATAACATTGAAGATTTGATAAAAATATAATTTCTCATGTACGTCGTATGTCGATCAGTAATTAAAATTCAAAATCTTACGTCCATGCTGAAAGAAAAAAGAGAATATTCATTGCCAATTGACGTACTACAAAAATTATTAAAATCATAAAATAATGGTAAATTTAAATAATATAAACATTCCAAGCAACAAATTAAAATTTAAAAATATAACTAAAAACTTTCGATCGTTAACTTCTAATTATAAATATAAGTAATTGTTAAAACCAAAATTATTTAGAATTGCATATTTTATTTTTTTTATTTAATTCATGTCTAGTTATAATTTGTTCATATAAGGAATAGACGGTCCAACTTCAAGTTAAAATAGGATTTGCACTATTATAAATAAAGGTTCTTACTACTTATTTTTCTTATTTTCCTTCTCACGTAAGTCCATGACTAAATATATTTTCCAAATCTTTTATCAAGTGTGATTTTTTTCATACTTTTTCTTCAATCCTTACTAATATTTTCAAGCAATGATAATAATAATAACAGAGAAATTTACATTGTACATCTTAAGTCGTCACCTAATGACTCGAATTTTGAAAATTTGAATAAATGGCATCATTCATTTTTGAACCTAAACGAATCGTCACAAATTGTTTATTCTTATCGCAATGTGTTAAATGGCTTTGCTGCTAGGCTTACTCTGCAAGAAGTTGCAGCTTTGAAAAATAGCCAAGGGATCTTATCAGTCCGACCACGACAAATTTTTCATCCACAAACTACTCATACTACAATTTTTTTGGGGATACAACAGAGTAAAGGATCATCAGGTAGCTTATGGGAAAAATCAAATTATGGTAAAGGTATGATAATTGGAGTTGTAGATACCGGAATTATGCCTGATCATCCATCTTTTCACGACGAAGGAATGCCCCCTCCTCCTGCTAGGTGGAAGGGGAAGTGTGAATTCTACTCTCGGTCGTCTTGTAATAACAAACTTATTGGAGCAAGATATTTTCATGAATCGGGTAATGGGACACCTCTCGATGAAAATGGTCATGGTACACATACTTCAAGCATTGCTGCTGGAAATTTCGTCAATGGGGCGAATGTATTAGGTATGGCTAATGGTACAGCATCTGGTATGGCACCGTTGGCACACGTTGCTATGTATAAAGTCTGTTCCAGTATTGGATGTCCTGAGACTGATGTATTGGCTGCGATAGATGCTGCAATCAAAGATGGGGTTGATGTACTATCGATTTCCATAAGCTCAAAGTTTAATCAATTTTGGTCAGGTGTTATTGCAGAAGGTGGATTTACTGCTATGCAAAAGGGGATTCTTGTTAGCTGTTCAGCTGGCAATACAGGTCCACTACCAGGCACTGTAAATAATCTAGATCCATGGCTTTTCACCGTTGGTGCAAGTACTACTGATAGAAAACTAAGAGCCACGGTACGTCTTGGTGATGGAAAAGAAATTTATGGGGAGTCAGGATTCCAGCCCAAAGACTACTCCGAGACAATGTTACCACTGGACGTTAGAAATGTCAGTGATGCATTTTGCAGCGCAGAGTCATTGGAGAATATAGATGTTAAAGGAAAAATTGTTTTGTGTGTATCTGATGGTAATACTTCTAGAATTGGTAAGGGACATTATGTGAAGAATGCTGGTGGTGCTGGAATGATACTCGTGAACGATGAATTGCACGGGTTCACTGTCTCTGCCGAACCACATGTTGTTCCAGCAGCACATGTCAGCTATACAGATGGACTAAAGATTATATCGTACATGAATTCAACATCAAATCCTCTCGCCACATTTTTATTCAGAGGAACCATATTTGAAGATGATTTTGCTCGAGAAGTTGCGAGCTTTTCAGGCAGAGGACCAAACAGGGCAAGTCCTGGAATCTTGAAACCAGATATTGTTGCTCCAGGTGTTAATATTCTTGCTGCTTGGCCAACTAAGTCTACTTTGAACATCGCTTCTGGCACGTCAATGTCTTGCCCTCATGTATCTGGAATTGCAACATTAGTAAAATGTACACACCCTGACTGGTCTCCAGCTGCTATCAAATCAGCAATCATGACGACTGCTGATCTTGATGAAAAGAGTGACTTGTTCGCCACTGGTGCAGGACATGTTAATCCGTCAAGAGCTAGTGATCCAGGCTTAATCTATGACATCAAACACGAGGATTATGTTCAGTATTTATGTGGTTTAAAATACCCAAACAAAGCAGCTTATATGTCTATATTGAGAAAAGTGAATTGCTTGTCAAAAATTGCTGAAGCAGAACTAAATTATCCTTTGTTTTCAACTGGACTTGGATAAGAAGCTCAAACGTATACAAGGACAGTGACTAATGTTGGTGAAGCTGTCTCGTCCTACGTTGTAGAGATCGTGCCACCCCAAGGAGTTGATGTGATAGTTGACCCTCCTCTCTTGAATTTCTCCGAGTTGAACCAGAAGAAAACATATAAAGTAACATTTAGCAGCGGATCAAGTAGTTCAACCACTAAATTTGTTCAAGGATACTTGAGATGGACATCATCCAAACACTTTGTTAGGAGTCCAATAGTAGTTACCTTCAAGTAGTGGTCGATCAAAATGTATCTTTCATAACGGTTTTCCTTACGTTTTCTAGTTAGTATATCAGATTTTCCTTAGTGTAATTTGAGAATTTTGTTTCAAGTTTTACAAAATCAGATAACACTATAATGAATAAGGATTTTTATGACAATAATATAATTATCGTTACGTTATAGACATTATAGTTAACGGTAATAATAAATATGTGATTTATAAACAATATTCTATATAAATGTTGCTAAAGGTTTTAGAGTATTAAGAGATTTTTGTAAGGTGTATATATTTAGGAGATTATTACTCCATTATTTACAATAGTTTTTCATGGTCATCAAGGTTTAGGGATTTGTATATAACTTTGGCTACAACCTATTTAATAAGAAATACAGAAAGCATTGTCACCTTTTGTACATTCTTTCATGGTATCAATGGCTATAACCTAGAAATTAATTGGGCGACGATAAGTATAAGAATAAAGACGGAGGGGAGGCACTGGATCAGAAAGTAGAATCCGACTTCTGAATATTTCTTGCTTTCAGCAGATCACACATGAATATGTATAACTCCTGTGGTACTGAAGGGCGACAACTATTATGAATGGGCTAAGGTGGTGAGAAACACTTTTAGAGCCAAAAAGAAAATTGAGTATTATTGGGTTTAAGTAAGGTGTGAATTGAGAAATAGGGCGAACCAAGTGAAGGAAAATGAAAAGTATTTTTCCCTCGTTGGTAGAAGAAAGGAAAAGTTTTGTCCTTATATTAGGAAACACTTCCCTAGCTTTAAAGGGTTAAGCAGAAGGTGCCCTCGTGCCATTGTTGACTGGACCTTGGCTTCGGCAAATAATTTGATTGATAATTTTTTAGACAAAATTTATTTATCAATCTCATTAATTAATTTCCTTTTCTTAATATTAATTTGCTGAATTATTTATTAATTAATTAAATTCGCGTAACATAATTGACTAATTAATTCACTCAACAGAATTAATTCAAAATTCATGAACTGTTTTGGAAAGGACCTATTCCTTACGAATTGACATTTCTTTTCCCAAAAGACACCATGCATGTAGGGGTGTACGTGATCAGGTTAGCTCGGGTTTTTCAAATATCAAACCAAACCATTTGTGTAAAATTTTTAAATTTATAAACCAAATCAAACTAATAAAATTCGGATTTTTTCGGGTTTTTCAACCTCGGGTTGGTTCGGAATTTTCAAATACCAAACCAAACCATCATGTCGAATTTTTAAATTTATCAATCAAACCAAACTAATAAACCTCGGATTTTTCAGATTTTTGGATTTTTTCGGTAAAGTTTGCATACAAACATATAATTAACTTGTGCTCCAAATATTTCTTTAGTCCAACCAACATACAATTATCTAAGGTGTTTCTTAAAAAAATAACACAAAATATGAGATGAGTACTGATGACACAAAAATATTTAATAAAAAATAATAATGAAATCATCATATTAAATAAATATTGCAAAGTCATAATGAAAAATAATCATAATTTAAAAGTACTAAATCATGCTAAAAAAAGTTTAATAAGTATTAGTTACATTACTAAATATTTAAGGAAAATTAAAATTAGATTATGAATTTTAATTGTCTAAACCAATGTAAAACTAAAGAATAAATATTCAATATTATTGTCATTCTTAGTGTTGAATTGATTTTCTTTTTTGCATTAGTATTAATTTGATTTTGATTTAAGTTTTATTATAATTATCAACATCTATGAACTATAATGTTTATTGGACCATTCCGAATTCTAAGTTTTAAACTTGAAATAATTAATTAAAAGATAAAAACTATGAAATAGTATAAGAAATATTTTAAAATTATATCAAAGTAAATATTTTTATGTATAATATAAAATTTTAAAATTACATATATAATGTCGGGTTGGTTTGGTCTCAGGTTGGTTTTTTTTAGTTAAAACCAACCCAACCCAAATATAGTCGGGTTTTTTTTTCAATACCAAATCACTAGTCGAGTTTTTTGCTCGGTTTGACTCGATTTGTGGTTTGATTCGATTTTCGATTCGGTTTTGTACACCCCTACATGCATGTTCTAAGCAGGTGAATTTGCACCATTCATTGGTTATAATTAAATAGAGAGGTCTCGTTTCAGTTTTCTGCAACGAATTTCCTCCTTCTTTTACATACATTTTTTACAAACAAAGTAGAGTCTTTGTGTGATTTCGTTGATAACTTTTGAGTTCACTGAAGTTATGGAAGTGTGAGACATCACTACATCTTTAATAGGTTTATCCGTTTTATCCTGGAAAGAAATAATCCACAACCTCGAATACAGTGAGGGGATTATATATATTCCATAAGGACACACAAGGAATTCTGTAGACTCGATTATTTTCTTTCTTTTCATCTTAACAGTATTTCTGGTTTACCATTCTAAGTACAGGGATAAAGAGTTTAACAAATTTAAATTTATTTATATTTCTACTTCATCTTATATTCTGTTAGGACTGGAGAATAAATTGAAAGATTTTCTACTCCACTGATTAACTTGGTTAAAGAAATAAAATCTGCATCAAGTTAATTAAGTTCTGTTTCTCGCGATGCGAAGTATTTGGTAATTCTGTTGTTTAATATTGATTTTGTATTTTCAAACAGAATGGGAGAACCGAATGTTTTTAGTTATGGAGCAAATTGTTACGATCCGAATCTACACCCTAGACGTGACCGACGCTCGAAAATCATTGTTGGTCTCTAAGAGAACCTTCATTCTGGTTGACTACAAGTGAAAGACTAACTCAATCATTCGCAAGCATCAAACTAAAAGAAATGCTTAATCAATAGTTTATTGAATCTCAAAACTCTCCGAGTATACTGGTAGGAAACATAAGTTTTAAGTAAAACATTTGAAATTGAAAGAACTCTCCAAAACTATCTATTTATGAAGCTTCTACTGTATAAAGATGAGTGTCGGGACAGGACCCAAGACACATCCAAAAAGCTACTACTAACAACTCATAAAAATTGAAGTCCTCCGAAAGCAAGGAGGCCTCACTCAAAAGCTGACGGGCGGATGAAGTGATCTGAAGGAAATTCCTGTTGAAGATCCTAAATACCTGAATCTGCATCATAAAAAATGCAGGTTGAATGACATTAGTACATTGAATGTACGAATATGTAATATAGCTGAAGTGAAATAACTGAATGAAAGGACTACAATAGATATAAATATATATTCAACTGAATGTAAGGAAATAAAAGAGTGAAATTATTTTAACTTTACAAAATACTTACTCATCCCTAAACTCAACATATTAAGTGATGTGATAAAAATACACTTTTAACTCTATTTGTGAGATTCTCTAACCGACAAGAATCACTATGAGCAACGTGATGATATAACATCTCGTCCACACTGCCAGAACTGTCATATACCTTATCGAAATATAGAACATCTCAATTAAATGGATCCACTAAAATATCACAAGTCGTATTTAACATGATTATTTCTTCCCCACCCTTCAATACATCTCTGATTTCACCCATCATAACACCCCCTACCCCACCTTCAACTCCTATAGTGTTTTCCTATGTTATACACAAACGATTTTTTAGATAATACGTACAAAATATTTAAAAAGTGATTTTAAAAATCCTTCATATCAAATAATACACCCTCGAAATTGAAAATTCTTTTGGAGAAGTAGGAAAAAATAGGTCTAACGAGGATGACATGAGAAGAAGAGAGCAAACTATAGCCAAGAACAACTTGCCGGAATTAGAAAATCCTTGCAATTTATGGTCCGGCAAGTCATCCTTGGCTGCAACTTCACTCTCTACATCTTCATGCAAACCTCATAGACTAAATATTTTAGACTTGTCTATCAAATGATATTGGCAGGGTGAGTATATATAGGCTAGGAAATTAAGTGATTGATATACAAATTAAGTTAGTAGGTCCACATCAGCAAAAATAAAGGGATTTCTTTTGAAAAACAAAATAATTAAGGGGTTTTCATAGCAATGAAATGAGCGGAAATCATAGGAGATGAGGGTTAAATTTCACTAAAAATAGAAAATATTAGTAATTTTTTCTTATCTATTAAAGTTTTGGTAGGTAATATAAATATTAAATCTTGAACCTTCTAAAATTTTCTGTCTTTTCCCCTAGGTGGAGCCATGAAGGTAATTATTGAGAAAACGATTCAATTGAATTTCCTTCGTTGAAATTTATATTGTGCTAACAAAATAAAATAATTCATTGATTTATTTTAAGCTTTTGAATTCACTTAACATATCGTTAAACGGTTAAAAGGGAAGTTCAAAGTTATTTTAGGTTTGTAAGTCCTTGTCCATTATGTATGTATGATCCAGTAAAAAAAGTCTCACGTACATGTTATTGTTTAAAAGTTATTTAAAAGTTACTGCACAATGTTTAATAAAAATCTATGTTCAACTTTTATTATTTTTTTACCTATCTAGAAAAGTCAATCTTGTACTCTTAATGAAATGTAATTGTTTCTTAAAAAAAAATTGATACTTCCACTTAGAAATCGACAGGACATTTATAATTAATTAATTAAGAAAACAATAGTCAACGAGTCCAGCTAGGAATAATAGTCTGAAAATGCTGTGTCTGAGGTAACATGCCCAAAAAAAATAAATTGCTTACTATATGCATCCAAAACCCTCCAATTATGTGCTCATAGGATGCAATTATTGTAATTCAAAACCTTCCAATTATGGATTGATTAGTAGTGCAAC